GATTCATAAGCCAGTTTTACTTCGTTTCACTTCATACAAATTGTCTGACCTCGCAGTGTTAGAATTCATTTGCTCTACGGTAGGCGGGTACTTCTTATCATTTAACCAATCGCTGCTATTTGGTAGTCATGTATGTAATGCGCCACTAACAGGGCTAACTGGTATATTAACTGGTATTTTCCCAAATCCCGTAGGAAGAAGGGCATCTTTCCCCTTGATAAAATTCACCAAACATTCTCTTTGTTCCAGCTTTAAATCCTCGATCTCGGGAATCGTTGACTGCGCTGAAAATATGGCTTTGCTGATTGGCTGGTGCCCGAACTTGCACTTCCAGGGTTTTTGCGAACCATCTAGTGTATTTTGATTCCTGACCTAGTCGCTGGAGAGAGATGAAATTGAGCTGAGGCACTAGGTGGCGCCAGCCTGTCTCAGGGTTTAGGTAGTGACCATTCAGATCAGAGAGAGGCATTTTAGGTTCAAACCAACTGAATTTCAGCATTTCTGATTGGATTTTATCTTGAGAACGAAAACACCAAATTATAACATAAATAACAAGGCCATCGTGTGCAATGTTTCTTATTTCTAATTAGGAATAAATTGGCTTTAGACTCATAATGAATAGGAGATATATTTGATTTGTACATTTGGTAAGTTAGTGCATCAGATCACTTTCCAGCTTTAATTATGTTTGACTTCATTGTCCTTGCTAAATACATAAATATCTACATTTCTTGGTGTTATTTTATTGCTCTGAGCTATTTATTACACAATTGAAATATAAATTAAACCAAATGGCAGTTCTTTTTAACCAGCACAGAATGGAGGCCTCTATCATGAGCTCTCCTGGTTTCTTTCAGAAGTCCTTAAAATGTGAAGTAAAGAGGTGTGGTGCTCTTAGTCTAATGGCCTGGTCCTGCCACTGAACGCTAACTCTTTATAAATGGCTGCCATTACGGCTAATGTTTTTTGAGCATGATGGAGCAGCTAATTCTAGCTCAGATGCTAATGGGAGCGGAGGACAATTAACGTGTCTATTACCGCCATAAAGTGTGAATAAGCCCAAAGACTGGGGACATCCATTCTGCACCAATCAGGACAGGCGCAGACAGGAGCAGACAGGAGCGAGACAACATGTCGCCATAACAATAATACAAAAACACGATTAGATTAATGGGTTTGTCGCCAATTTTCAAACACACATATAATGGATGTTTGTCAATAGAAGTCTGCCATCTGTAAAGAGATTGTGGTGTAGACCTCGGTGTTATTTTGCAAAAGCACAATGGATCATATCATGTATCATTTGACTTCGCTTGTCAACATTAATAATGCAAATATCCTTGTATAAAAGAAGACACATCACGATTTAGTCTGCTATGTAGTTAGAATCAACACCCACTGATGTCTGGGTTGGAAAATTGCCGAGTGCAGTGGGAGCCTATTCTCGCCTGCCCCTTTACCGTAAAAGTTACCGTAAAAATCATCACAAGTGAGACATATTTCCTATAGCTAAATACAACTTCGACAGGGTAAATGAGAAGAGAAAAAACTATAATATGGTCGCCTTTAGTGTTACACAGTGTGACTTCAACATACTGTGTAGCCAACTGAACACTATGGACTTAATTTACAGTTTCGTATACTGTATTTTTCGGACTATAAGTCGCACTTTTTTTCATGTTTTGGTTGTTTCCTGCGACTTATACTCCAGTCTGACGTATATATTAACATTTTCACACTGACAGCCGTGAGAGGGCGCTCTAGGCTTGTGTGCCAGTATCTGCTGCTCCTACTCCTGTACCACTGTCATTTCACTCTACTGCGCATGACTTCTGCAGAAAGAGCCTCTGTCCTGCTGCAAGTAGTGAAATATTCAGCTGAAAATGGTAATCGAGCAGCAGAAAGAAAGTTTGGAGTGAGCGAGAAACTTGTGAGGGACTGGCGGAAAGTGGGGATGGAGAACAAAGCTTTATGGTTGCCAGGTGGGGGCGCCATGCAACTTTCTTGGGAGTCATTGGATGGATCGACAAAGTCTGGACTTCAGTGACAACCGAAACCATCCTGTCGGGATTCAGAAAAGCTAATAATAATTCTAATTGGAACTGATGCTGAGTCTGACGACAGCTACACAGAAGAGGAAGCGGTGCTCCGTTTACCTCCGGAGGTCGCGGAGTTGCTCCAAGGATGAAGAATTCAATGGATTTAGTGATTTGAAGTGAGATGGAGAGTTTGATAAACTTGTTCTGTTCTGTTGTTTATGCTATAGTTTATCTGAAGAACTGTTCATATGTGACGTTAACAGTCTGTTGTTCTCTGTTCTATTGTTATTACTATAACTTGCCTTTCAAGATGAAATGTTGGTTCTTGGTCTCTGATTTTATAAAACTAATTTCCCCAAAAAAGTGTGACTTATAGTCTGGTGTGACTTATATATATGTTTTTCTTCTTCATTACGCTTTTTTGGCTGGTGCGACTGGATACTCCGGAGCGACTTACAGTCCTAAAAATAAGGTAGCTCAAAAGTCATGGTCAAAACTACAACAACCAGACCCAGCTTCCAAGATCTGAGAAGCAGGTATGGGTATGAATTATGGTTTTAAATTAATCTCTAAAATTATATTAGCTTTTAATTTTTAACAGTTAGTTGAACATATACATTTTTAGAAGTGCACTGCATAACTTTCATGGTGAAAGGTACACCACATGCTTGTCACCATAGAAATTTGTCTGAAATGTTCCACAGAAAGGCATTATACATAGAGCATATATAGCTCATTGTTAAAATTTCTTCAAAAAAAAAAAAAAAAAAAAAAAAAAAAAATTGTCTCCATGGTGATTCACAGGTTTAAAGCAGGCCTATTATGCAAAGTCAAATCTTCAAAGCTTTTAATCACATCGTTGTAGTTGTTTCCCCTTCTCATTTCCCCTCTCGAAGTTGAATTTGGAGTGAGTAATCTTTAATTTCTCGTTCTCCAATTTTATCTTCTTAATTGGTGATACACGTAGGATCCAGCAGCACTGCGTAGTCATTTTGGCAAATAAAAAAAAAAGCATTTGCCACTTGTAATCATGATCTACAGCTATCCATAGGAGGTGCCGACAACTTCACAGCTCTTTGTAGTAATGAAGTTTACACCAACATCAGCTCCCAGTGGACTCTACAGTTTTTTAAAGCAGAAGTCAGCAGATTTGTTTCTTAAATTTGGTTGTTTTAAATGAATTTTGCGATTTCAAATGTACAAATTCTAACTTAATGATCCACTGATGTCATAGATTATAACTATATAGCACACTCAAACCAAAAATGTTTTCTTTAAAGCCATTCTGTGAAACGTTCCAAGCTAAACAATGATATCTCCATAGATAAGTCATGGAACCCCTACCAGAAAAATCACATAATGAACCTTTTTAAGTAATTTATTTTTGTAGTACGAGATACTATCCTCAAAGAAACAACATAACCTATATACAACTGTCTTAAAGTCAGAAACAAGAGCAAAAGTCTTGCCAAAAGTGTATCAGCAACTTCGAAAATCCTATTGATATTTATGTATTCACAGATAGCCCGTCTCCTTATAGTGTGATTGATGTGTTGTGCGTACACTTCCTCTCTCCTCATCCATCATTAGAATATGCCCCAAACTGGGCCTTACGTTGGCGCACCTCTCTCATCTTTAGCAAACGCGTAGCTTTTATTTGGCTCTAATCAATGTTTTATTCAATAACAAACTCCGCTGAGGCTACGGAGCACTGGATCTTATGAATAATGCAAAATGACTGTCCAATCACATCAGTTTGAAGACATTGTTTGTTATCAGGGGACATCCTAATACAGTCCAGGCTAAACTTGTGTGGCAGCTCCCAAATAAATATAAGTTTTTGTTGTGATAGTATTGAAGAAAAACAGGAAAAGGATAATATTTAAACATAAGGGAGGTAATGGTCCTTTATAAAGTTTGCTGGTTTGTCAGTGTTAGTGTCTTTTTGTGATGAAATGGATGTGAATATTAAGAGGTCTTAAAGCACTGCACTTAGATAATTACATCATATTTTGGATTTTCGATTGAATACTCTAGCTGCCTAAATAAAAAAATAAAAATAAAAAAACATAAAAGAAAAAGACTGCTCAAGAAGATGACAGGTATCAGCAGGCCAAGTGTACCGCTGCTTTTGCAGTCAGTACTGGACTGGCAGGTGGTCTCTCTGTTTATGAAGGGGGAGGGTGTGTTCCAAGTACAGAAGAATCACACTCCTGACTCCCCGGTAAGGTCTATTCCAGGGTACTGGAGAGGAGAATCTGACTTAATAGTCGAACCTCAGACTGAGGAGGAGCAGTGTCGTTTCCATTCCAGTCGCAAAACACTGGACCAGCTCTATGCTCTCCAACTCCATCATGAACAATCTCAAGGGTTCATGGGAGTTTGTCCCACCAGTCCACATGTGCTTTGAGGATCTGGAGAAGGACTGTGTCCTTCGTGGTGTCCTGTGGAGGGTGCTCTGGGAGTATGGGGCCTTTGGTAAGTGCTGTCTGGTACCTATATGACTGGAGCAGGAGCAGCTGGGATGAAAATCCAAATTAGAATCTATGGTTCTTGACTAAAAAAGGGTATCTTGGCCTCTCCATATGGATGGAGAGTCCCTCCTCAAGTGTAAGGAGTTCAAGTATCTTGAGGTTTCCCTTAGAGACAGGACGAGGAGGAGCTCAGAGCCAATGCTCCTTCGTGTGAGAAAAAGCCAGCTGAGGTGACTCAGGCATCTGTTCTAGTTACGTCCCTGGGGATGTGTCCCAGACACCCAAAGGAGCTGAAGGACATGCTCAGGGAAGTGTAGGTGTCCCTGCTCAGACTGCTGCCTCCTTTACCCGGCCCCAGATAAAGTGGAAGAAAATGGAGGGAAACTTAACTTGCAAATTTAAATACAGAATTTCATGTGTTTCTCCAATAAAAAAAACACAACCTGTTCCCCTGCCTTACTAAATGTTACACTTGAATATGACAGACCTGTAGATCCCTGGAGGAGCGCTGGGCAGGATGAAGCTCTTCTCCACGTCCCTCAGCACATCGTTGAGCATGCGTACGTGGGCAGGGTCTCTCTCTTTGGGGTCGTTGGCCGGGCGCATGACCTCAGACTGGAAGAACGCTGCGTGGTCCCTGAGCGAGGAGGCGGCAGAGAGCAGGGCAGGAGGGACAGAGGACTTATCTGGAAACATACAGATTTTACATTTTTTTATGGATGTCCATTTTTGTTAAAGGTGTACAATTTAATATTTGTGATTGGGGTCTACCACAAGCTTGTCTGGAAATGTTAGTGCTTTGTTAGGAATGTTCCACAATATGCATCTAAACTTACAGTATGTATCTTGCATTTAGTTAATTTCTGGTGCAAGAGGCTCACCTCTACAAAGATCTGACCTGTAACTTAGCTTTGGAGCATCACCACAAGTTTTTTCCTCTATGTTTAATGCCATACAGTTGAAGAATCAAGGCAAAGCAAAAACATCTCAGACAATGAGGCAAAATAAACAAATAAATAAAATAAAAAATATATTTTAAAGGTGCACTATGAAACTTTTTTTTTTAGTAGTCCGCCACCATGCATTTCTCCATTTGTAAAAGTGTACAGTGTACATGTAAAAGTTTTAGAATACCAATCATTTTGAAAATGAAGAGCTTGAATGGTACAAAATGGTACAAAAGTAAGTCCTGAGCAGCCAGAGGTAAAAAAAAAATAAAAGAAAACAAAACACAAGTCCAAGCTCTGCCAAAACTACCTCAGGAAAAAAGAACAAGATGGTGAAAACATGGAGTGTCCAGCACAGTCTCCAGACTTAAACCCCATCGAGCTGCTTTGGGATGAACTGGACAGAAGAGTGAAAGTCAAACAACCTACAAGTGCCACACATTTATGGGAACTTCTGCAACAGACTTGGGAAGAACTTTCTGAAGAATATTTGATTTCTGTTGTAAAAAAGAATGAGCCACGAGTGTGTTCAGCTGTTATATCTGCCAAAGGTGGACACTTTCATGAATTAAAAGTCCAGAATATGTTTTGGTCAACAGTAAACAGTAAAAAACTGGAAAAAGTCTGGAGTTCTAAAACTTTTGACTGGTAGTGTTTATCTTGGAATGAGAATTCTCACTATGAATGAGGTTATTTCACCACAGATCTGACAAGTATTTAGATATGTTTAAAGGTTGACATTGACTTGTGAGCTTTAAACCAAGTTATGATGTTGTTACCTCATCAAAAACATTCAGCATTCAAACATGTTTGAGTAATCCTTTATTATTAGTCTGTCTAAATCTCCAAAGCTCAAAATGCTCCTTTCCACCTTGTGATATCATGAAGTAGTAGTATTGAAGTTAACAGCTAACTTTTACCTTTTGTTCAGTGTAAGTTGTCAGTTCAAGAGCTGAAATCATCCAAACTATTCTAATGAAGATGCATGGAGCACTTCCTGTATTACCACATGACATCACAAGGTGGAATAGAGTGTCTTCTGTTTAAGAGAATAAAGCCTAATTGCAAGATTTGTGTGTAAAACGTGTGAATGAAACAAAACATATGTTTTTCATGAGGAAACAACATTATAAAATTGATCAGAAAATAGTGTAATATAAGCCCTTTAATGCCATGCTGTGGAATATTCAAGTTAAAGCAAAAACAAGCAGATATCAAACTCATCAGAAAAGTTACATGTGGCGCCTTTAATATACTTAAATTACTAAACAATTATAATTTCAAAGTACATCCCTAGATGGCAGTCCTCCAACTTTCTAGATAATAAAAACACATTTATGTTTTGCATGTCAATGTTGTTTTCATGTTTTGTTTCTTATAGCCAGCGACACGTGGTTCATTGATCGTTCTTCATGGACAAATTAGGCCTAAATCTTTTGTTTTGCCAGCGCCGGTGAAGGTTACATTTGTATTGAAGGACAGGGCTTAGACTGGCTCTGCTGCTGCATACTAAAGCCTCACTATCGGCCTATGCTAATGTGCTCTCAGGGCTGCAGCCAGACCTTGACTAAAAAGCTCCTACATATGCAACTACCAGCATGATGAGGGCTGAACAAGCTGCTAAACTACACGAGGAGGAAGGAGACGAAGAAATGTGGTGATCAGGAGTTTAAAATTGGATTACTCGATCTGATTATGTGTTTTGGTTGGTTTGAGAATTGGGCGCTTCGGAAAAAATTAAGTCTGATTTTATTCAATTGTGTCTGATTCAAAAAGTGTCTGATTTTATTCAATTTTCTAACCCATGAAAGTAAAAGGCACATATGTAGTTAAAGGTGCACTTTGTAACTTTTCTGGAGTCGGTATTTGCCAACCTGATGTTATTGCTTTGCTTGGAATAGTCTTGCAAATGATTATGGGAAAAAAAAAAAAAAGGGGAAAAAAATATATCACAAAAGACACCAGAATCAATCTTGGAGTGCGCCTGCCCAAAGGTGAAGTGCCCAAACGAACCAAAGCAAACATGGCAATGCTGACAGATGTACTTCAGTCAATTTTAGAATCAATCCAAACTATTTTAGAAGAGCTTTGTGCATTTGTGGACAGAGGAGATGTCTGTGCTTTTCTCTTAACTGAATGTAACTAAAGTTAGATTTTTCAGCTTGTTCCGCTGTTGTGATGCTTCGACAAATCAGATTCAAACAGTCGTCATGACCTTCTGAGTTTTCTGATCTTTTTCAGTGAGAGCCATCTCAGATTAATAATGCGTAGACCTCAGTTCAGAGTAGAGCCCTGTACACCAGCAGGACCAGATGCAAAATAGTGCAGTACGGGACACATTTTGAAAGCTTCTGCTGGATATTTTATTTTAGCCAGGCTGGTGCCGCCTAGTGCCTCCACTCAATTTCATTTCTCTCCAGCAACTAAGTCAGGAATCAAAATACAATAGACGATTCACAAAAACCCCTGAAGTGCAAGTTCGGGCACCAGCCAATCAGCGAAGAACCATATATTCAGTGTCGTCAACAATTCCCGAGATCGAGGATTTAAAGCCGGAACATAGAGAATGTTTGGTGAATTTCATCAAGAGGAAAGATGTGATTGCCCTTCTTCCAATGGGATTTGGGAAAAGCTTAATATACCATTACATGCGTCACGACCAAATAGCAGCGATTGGTTAAATGATAGAAAGTACCCGCCTACTGTTGAGCAAACAAATTTTAACACTGCGAAGTCAGACGGTTTGTACGAAGTGAAACCAGTTGATGAATCAGGCTAATCTTATTTGGCATTAATAAAAGCATTTTAAGCTTTAAATTTGCAGATGTGGTCTAATCTTGTGTACATTTTAGACAATTCCTTTCCGCTTTTCCAGATTTGATAGAGATTAAGAAAGTGAATGTTCACATCTTGCGGGATTTGCGGGCCGGAGCGGGACAAAATATCACAGATGCGGGGGGGAGCAGGACTGAAAATTACAATTATTTGCGGGCGTGGGCGGGAGAAGGACTGAACAATGCGGGTGTGAGCAGGAGCGGGACTATGTAACAGACAACAGTCCCTACAACTGTACAACAACTCACCCTTATGTAACAGATAATACTCCCTACAACATTACTATATTTTTATTTCATTTTTGCTATGTATTTTATAAATTCATTATTATTGCATTTATATTCCTGCTCTTTGCTATTGTGATGTGTGAGCCACTATGTCCAAGTAATTTCCCCTGTGGATCAATAAAGTTTGTCTAAAGGCCGCGACACACTACAGGATTTTTCAAACTGGATTAAAAGTGTTCTTTTGTGGACCTGGTGAGATTATTTGCCGAGGACAAATTCTATGGAAAATATGGATGAGATGCTCCCGTTTAAATTTACAACTTCTTGTAACAAACAGGCTGGTTTGTTACCCCAGAACCACACTTAGCACCTTCACCCTTCACTAGAGCACTTTAAAACACTACACTTTCCTTGCACACAGCACTTTTAACATATCTGCACATCACAAAATAAATTGCACACAATTGGTTTTAAAAAATATTTATTGGCTTTCCTTTAACCATTTTTTATTCCTGAGGCACAGCACTTTAATTGGAAGTTACTTGTCCCTGGAGGAAAAGGGAGACAATAACAAATTACATTTTAAATTGACTTTGTGCAATAAATATGGTGCAATATCTGTTTTAGAATGTTTTAAGTGTTGATGTGTTTAGTGTATTTTATTGTGTTTTAATAAATGGTGGATCTGCTTTTACTTACCTCCCCTTTTTATCTTCTGTCCAGGTGTGAAAAGAGTCCCCCGGAAACGAGCTCCCTCTTTTATGGTTCCGGGCTGGACCACGTGTAACATTTTGTACAGGGGTTTTAGGTTAGGTGTTTTATTGGTTTATGGGTTTTAACATTTAATTGGTGTAATGGTTTTATGGTTTTATGTATATAGTTGGTGGTTTTAATAGTTATCTGGGTTTTGGGTTGTTTTATGGAGGTTTAGGTTTTAATTTTATGCTAATGATAATTTTAACCATCCCTGTTTTAGCATAGTGGTTTTATCCAATCAGTAGGACCGGCATAAAAGGCGCCTTCAAGATCAGTCTGTGTTCTGCTGCTGGAGAGGAAACTGCTGCCTGCCTCCGTTTTGCACCCTGCACCTTTTGCACTTGCACTTTTGTAATCATTGAAAAAACAAAAGTAAACTGTGGACCACAAGTACCGGTCTGTGTCTGGATTTGTTTTTTACCTTGCTCACTGAACCCCAAGCCGCTCACGGTCAACCGACGTTACACTTCTCAAGAGGTGAATAATAATTATTTTCGTTTTTTCCCCGAGTTTGTATTTTGAGCTTCTGTGTCCATCACTTGTTCATAATCTACAGATTATAAATCATAGACTACAACACATGAACCAGGACTAAACCAGGTCTAATCCAGGACTAAACTAGAACTGAACCAGGACTGAACAGGGACTAAAACAGGACTAAAACAGGACTAAACCAGGACTAAACCAAAACTGAACCAGGACTAAACCAGGTCTAAACCAGGACTAAATCAGGACTAAACCAGAACTGAACCAGAACTGAACCAGAACTGAACCAGGATAGAACCAGGACTAAACCAGGACTACAGCAGGACTACACCAGGACGACACCAGGATTAAATGAAATCTAAACCAGGACTAAACCAGGACTGAACCAGGAACTGAACCAGGTCTAAACCAAGTCTAGACCAGGTCTAAACCAGGTCTTAAGCAGGACTAAACCTGGACTAATCTTGGACTTGAGAGTGAGAGAAAGAATCTTGAGCCCATGGAGCAGAGTGTCCGCAAAGTGCGATCAGGTGACGACTGCGCTTCACCCCGGGGGGCGTGGAGCTCTGCGCCGGTCCTTTCACCTGCGGTCACCCGACAGTCTACACGGGCGAACGTCCAGGCCTGTCCTGACACTCAGTCCTGGTTTAGTCCTGGTTTAGACCCTGTTTAGACTTGGTTTAGTCCTGGTTCAGTCCCGGTTCAGTCCCGGTTCAGTCCTGGTTCAGTCCTGGTCCCTCATGTAGCAGTTCACTAAAGGACAGTACTGCAGATTTCATGAGTCTATGCAGGTTGTTTTCACCATTGCCAGTAGCTCCGGTTTGACATTGAAGTTGTAGCTCTTTTATTTATATTTGTTATTTTTTTTTATATCTCGCATTGGGAGAAGTGGGTGGACGGCGTACCCCCGTGTACCACACCCATTACAACCACTACAAAGCTCAATCCAGCACATTTTTCAGAATCTGCACCGATATTCGCTGCCAGTATCGATATCAATGCATCTATACCTTTAAGTCAAAACTTTCCTTTGTAGATAATTTTGGATGAATCAGGGCCTGCACGCACGATTAGTTTTGTGGTTTATTTTACTAAGGTACACAGTGAAATTTCTAACTAAAAGTTAAATTTGCCAAATTTTGTGAAACTTTTTCAGATCTTGTGCGGTAAATTGATGTTCGTCCATGTCCCGGAGTGGAGAAGCCCAGCGGTGGAGCAGACCAGAGCAGGAGGATCTGATTTTCACAAAAGCGGGGAGGTCATGTGTGCTGAAATAATGAGGCAGAGAGATCGATGTGCTAATGAAGCAGCGCTAACCCACCAGCGCAGGGACCACAGTGAGCTGAGGGCAACAACTGTAGCCCGAGCACATGTGAAGAGGAGCCGCTTTTTCTGTTAGCTTCTTGTACCTGGATCTTACCCTCACGCCAACCTTTGCACAGCTTTGAGAAGAAACTAAACTTTGAACCACTGCAAACCATTTAAAATTATAAAATGTTTTTTTTTTTTTGTCTTTTCTTCACATTTTTAAAATGGAAAAAAATCAATCCAATGTGAAAAAGTTTGGAATTTTATCATAATGGTCCAGGATCAGCTTGGGGCTCTGTCTCACATGTTGCATATGTCTGTGTGTGTTTTTAAAGCCACAGTATGTAACCTTTAAGACCAAACTAGGCCACAATAAAATCATTTTTTTGCTTTTTTTGGGGGGGGGGGCTTGCATCTCCACAAACCTAATTCGTAGACTGAACAAGGGCCTGCTCCTGCTTGTTTCAATGGAAATGTTAGTCCTGTGGCTATAAACATCTAGCCAGGCTGGCACCACCTCGTGCCTTCGCTCAATTTAATTTCTCTCCAGTGACTTGGTCAGCAATCAGAATACACTAGACGGTTCGCAAAAACCCTGGAAGTGCGGGTTCGGGCACCAGCCAATCAGTGAAGAGCCATATATTCTGTGTTGTCAATGATTCTCGAGATTGAGGATTTAAAACCGGAACAAAGAGAATGTTTGGTGAATTTTATCAAGGGGAAAGACGTTATTGCCCTTCTTCCAGTGGGATTTGGGAAAAGCTTAATATACCATATACTGGCATATTAAGCCCCATTAGAGGCGCATTACATACGTCACGACCAAATAGCAGCGACTGATTAAATAAAAAAAGTACCTGCCTACCATCGAGCAAATTAATCTAATGCCGCGGGGTCAGATGGTTTCTAAGGTGAAACTGGCAGATGAATCAGGCTAATAAACATCGATAGTATGGCATAAAATGTATCAGTGCCATTGGAGAATGTTCCAAAGTGTGGTTTTAACATTCTGTTTCCGCAGCATCATGCAGGTGATGTGCCATCTCCAAAAAGTTACATACATACTGTACCTTTAGCTTTGGAAATAAATAGTTGATGGACACTGATCAAGGCTGTATAGTGACAAATAAAGATGATACAAAATTTGGTTTATATGTTGGTGCTTTTCACTGGCTGCAAACATTTTCTGGACCCTAAAACCAGCTCTGTTTGTCACTTCCTTGTAGCTCATAGTATTTACATTTCTTCCGACCATCATCTCATGACCACTGAGGGATAAACATGTTTTCACTCGGCTCTTCTTTTTGTCACTAATGGCTACATCACCGTATTTCCCAATAAAAACTGACTGATGCCCTTCCCCTCTTCCCCTTGCTTCTTTAAACTTTTCTCTCTTTAATTATTAAAAGAACAAACAAACAAAAACCTCAAACACTGTTGGAACGTATGTTGGAGCGAGGACTGAATCAGGTATTCAGTCTTGTGTTTGGACCTGGTTGATGGATGGATGAAGGTGTATTATTTCATTCTTCGTTCTTACAAATCTGACTACCGTATGTCACTTTACTGAAAATGAATCGTCTGACCTCTGAGTTTGTTCTGGATGTCCAGCACAATGTCCAGGGTGAAGAAGGGCAGCACAGGGTCAGTCATCAGACGCAGGATGGCCTCTGCGGTCATCTGTGGACAACAAGACAAAAATCAGACTCATCTACAAAACGTGCCTTACCCAAGACATCGCAACATCTGTAATATTGTGTGGAGATGTTATTGTTAATATGCAGAGTTTAACGGGTTCAGTCACCAAGTTTCTGCCCACTAACGTCACTCAGGGCAAATATCAAGGCATTCAGCTCCATAATGGATCTATCAAACTGCTTTTAAAAACCATAGCAGATTTACATACAGTCACATTATTACAGCACTACAAGCTTAAAGCTTCACTACTGAAAAAGAGAGATGTTTTAGGTTTAAAGGGCCAATATTACACAAAACAGCTTTAAGTCATGTTAGAATGTTGTTACGTTCCCCCAAAAACATACTTGAAGTTGTGTTTTGTTTCCTTCACATATGTTTGAGTAATCCTTTATTATTAGTGTGTCCACATCTCCAAACAGGGTTGCCGCTCTTTTTCACTGACAAAATTTCAAAACTTTTCCACGACTTTTTCATGACCTAAAGTGAATTTTCCCTGACTTTACGGCAGGGGTCTCCAACCTGTAGCTTGAGAGCTCTCCACCCTCTTCCAAGTAGTTTGCCAAGGGATTTTTGAATTGAATAAGTAAAATTAGATTAATTAAATGCCTTTTACCATTGTACATGTATCATTTTGATGCCTAACTTTTTACACTACTAAGTGGATAATGGTTTATGTTTTATAGGCATCTAACTGAACTTCATCTGGCCCTTATATATACTAAATTTCTTGTGACTGCTAAATCTAGTAGCTCTCTGACATTTTCATTTTGTAAAAGTAGCTCACCGGAAGAAAAAGGTTGACCCCTGCTTTACGGCACATGTAGAACTGAGCATTCTTTTAGGGCTAAAAATGAAATGTTAACCCTTTCCACTCACCTTATGGTTTGGTATTATAGTTTTTTAACATTTAAAATCCTGTCAGTGCATTTATTGTCGTCTCTTTTAAACAAAAGGCGCAGACGTTCAGAAATATCATCATAATAGTCTAATGAGAACTTAACAGAACGCTGTAGTTGTGTGAAAGAGATACTACAATTCCATGACTTTTCCAGACTTAGAAAGGACATTTTCAATTTCCATTTCCACCTGTTTCAGCTATCTTTTGTTCAGTAGGGATCGGCAATTCCAGGGCTGAAATCCTCCAAATGATTCTAGTGAAGGTGTATGGAGTTTAAAAACACAGTGGAGCACTTCCTGTATTACCATATGACATCACAAGCTGGAACAGAGTGTTTTCAGTTTGAGAAAAGAACTCAGCCTAAATAAGTGTGGTTGGTTTGTGTGTTAAAAATGTGTGAATGAAACAAAACACAACTCCAGGTATGTTTGTGATGAGGAAACAACAGCAAAAAAATACCGTAATAGTACTATAGAGAAAACAAGTACTACAAGTCAAATATTACAGTACTTGAGTTGTAATAGTATGTTTTGTTTTTTTAAATCAGATTTTCCTTCTAAAACCACAGTGTCTGGTGCAGATGAGCGATACGGCGGTGGAAGCATCTATCAGAGCTCTGTAATGCGTCCTGACGAGAGCGCACACCGGAGCTCTTATTTATGGGACTATTTTTTGGATGGCGGCGCCACGGCACAGATGAGACTGAAGGAGGAGGAAAGACACAAAACCGAGAGGCGCTGAAGAAGACCGAGAAGAAAAATGTAAACGCCGCGTGACGAAAAGCGAACGTAAACGAGTGAATTTAAACGTGCATTGTGTAACGTTTCTGATGGACGGTCCGTTACCAGCTTATTTTCCATGGATATGCTACCTGAAATGTTCCAAAGTATGGCATTAAACGTATTTATTTCAACGGAGACAGCAGGGGACACCACAGGATTAAGTTACATATCAGATCTGTGGAAAGGCGAGCCAACTTACAGTAATAATACACACTTTTAAGTCAATAAAAGCCCACGTTAATGAGTAAATTAAGTTCAAGATGGATATGTTTAAAGCCATACTGGGACTTTTCCAGAAAAAGCAACAAGATCTCCATGGAGACAAGCGGATAGCGGACCCTCCACCGGAAAAGTTACACATTAAAAACATGAAAATACAGTTTCTCCGTGATGAGTTTATAAGCACTTTGCACAACTTTCAGAGGACAGAGCGAAGTTTTGCCATCACGGTTATGCCATCAACAACTAGCATGCTAACAGCACACTGTCCTTTTTTCCTGCATGGTTCTCAGAGGATAAAACACTTTGTAATTAGATGCACACAGAAACCATTTGAACTTTTACTACTTAAAAACACTGAGAACAGTCATTTTAAGTTATTCATTTAAGTTAAGATCGTATATTTAACAAAACAATGCTGCATAAATAAAACAAAATAGAAATTAAAAAGTATTCTCTGTAGACTAGGGGTCAAAATTTATTCATTTTCCCATTGGCTGTGGATGTTATTAACCTGATTTAACCTGCTCCCTCTGTGTTGGTTCACCTGTGATGTGTTTTAAAAGCTCTTTATGTTAAAAATAGACTAATGAATATGAGAGCGCTACAACACAAAGCTCTTAGTCTGAAGCACAGCAGGTCGCCCACCCTTCCTCTCTCCTCTCTCCTTCACCTCTCCCTCTCTCTGTCACCTCTCCATTTCTCCTCTCCTCTCCCTCTCTCCTTCTCTCTCCTCTATTTTACTTCTCCCTCTCCTCCCTCTCCCTGTCTCCCTCTCTCCTTCACTTCTAACTCTCCTCGTCACTTCTCCCTCTCTCCCCCTCCCTCCTTCACTTCTGCCTCTCTCCTCTCCTCTCCCTCCCTCTGTCACTTCTCCCTCTCTCCCTCTCCTCTCCTTCTTTCCGTCACTTCACCCTCTCTCTCTCCCCATCTCTCTTTCACTTCTAACTCTTCTCGTCACTTCTCCCCCTCTCCGTTACTTCTCTCTTTCTCCCTAACCGCTCTATCTAATTGTCACCGCTCTTTCGCTCCCTCTCCTCTTCCTTTCTTCCTCTCTCCCTAAACTCTCCCTCCCTCCATCACCTCTCTCTCACCCTCACTCCTCTCTCCTCTCTCTCTCCACCTCTCTCTCTCTCTCTCCCTCCTCTCCCTCTCTCATCTCCTCTCTCTCACTCTCTCCCTATCTCCTCTCATCTCTCTCTCTCTCTCTGTCACCTCTCTCCTCTCTCTCCTCTCTCCTCTCTCCTCTCCCCTCCTCTCTCTCCTCTCTCCTCTACTTCTCCCTCTCTGTCACTTCTCCCTCTCCTCTCCTCTCCTTCTCTCTTCACTCTCCCTCTCTCCCCTCCCTCCTTCACTTCTGCCTCTCTCCTCTCCCTCCCTCTGTCACTTCTCAATCTCTCCCTCTCTCTCTTCTCCGTCACTTCACCCTCTCTCTCTCCCCATCTCTCTTTCACTTCTAACTCTTCTCGTCACTTCTCCCCCTCTCCGTTACTTCTCTCTTTCTCCCTAACCGCTCTATCTAATTGTCACCGCTCTTTCGCTCCCTCTCCTCTTCCTTTCTTCCTCTCTCCCTAAACTCTCCCTCCCTCCATCACCTCTCTCTCACCCTCACCTCTCCTCTCTCCTTCTATTCTACCTCTCTCCCTTTCTCCCTAACCTCTCCCTAATCTCTCTTTCTCTCTGTCACCTCTCGCTCTCCCCCTTACCTCTCCTCTCTCCTTCTATTCTCCCTCTCCCCTCACCCTCTCTCCTTCCCCTCTCCGTTTCTCTCCTCCACCTCTCCCTCTCCTTCTCTCCGTGTATCTCTCACCTCTCCATGCGAGTGATGCAGTTTAAAGTGGAACTAAACCCTAAATCAACTTTTCTTTGCAACCAAACTGAGTATCTGCTCTTTTAATATCATTCTCTTCTATATTTAGTGCTTTTTGTTAACTTCAGTGCAAATTTGCCAAAAAAGTGATGAGCGGGGGTTGTGAGGAGATGTATGTAGTGTGTGTGTATATATGTATGTTGTAGATCAGGGGTGTCAAACTCATTTTGGTCCGGGGGCCGTATCCAACTGACTTTGATCCCAAAGGGGCCGGATCAGAAAACTCATGACATATAAACCCCAAAAATAACAATAAGTTCAAATATTTGTGCAAAGAAATTCAAATCTATTACAGAAATCTTTTTAATTGATGAACTCTTTCTTTTACAAAATATTATAATATTATGAACAACCTGAAACTTTAAGAAAAATACAATTTCAACACAATATTTTAACATGAACTTGTTTAACATTAACTTGTATAAATAGGAATACGTAAGTTTTTCTTGGAAAATCCTGCACTCGGCTCCACTTTTCTCATTTTGGACATTTTTCTGATGAGGGTGTCACGGTCAACAGTCAAAACGATCGTCCTTTAAGAGCGTTTGGAAAGAGACAAGTCTTCATTTGTGCTGCTCTGGTGGGAGGGGCCACGTACAGAGACGCTGGAGACGCTGCTGTGATAAACACCACAGAAAATTAACAAGATTTTAATAAAAAATAGAATCAAAATATTTTAGTAGAAAATCAGCCGAGGGCCAGATTACAGGTCTTGGAGGGCCGGATCTGGCCCCCGGGCCGCATGTTTGACACCTGTGTTGTAGATCAACATGCAGATCGTGACAAGGCGACCCCCCCCCTCCAAAAAAAAATTGCGAACCTCAATGCATTAAACATATGATGCAAGATATATGGACTTACATAGGAAAAAAGTTAAATAACTCAACTAAATGTATATAATATTTTAATTCAAATGCTCAAAATAGCTACACTTTGCTTTGTCGACAGCGCTGCAAACCCTTGACCTTCTCTTAGACTTAGACAAACTTTATTGCGAGGGAAATTATTTAATTATTTTCTGTATTATATATTATTTTCTCTCAACAAATGTCTCCTGAAATAGTTTTCACTTCACAGCTGTGCCACGTCAGGGTCAAGAAATGCCAAAAATCCAAAAATTGAGTTTATTTACTATGTTTATTTACTACATTCCATATGATCCACTTGATTCTTTGACACTAAAATCCTTTATATTTTGATGCTATTTGATGAC